GCGCGACACCAGCGCGCGATGCGCTCGGCGGCGGCGGTGATGCAGGCGCCGTCCACGTGGTGGCTGAAGCTGCGAAGCACCTTCACAGCCCTGTGGCTGCTGCCCGCCTCCGTAATCAGGCTCATCACGTATGCCGCTGCCGCGCCGCCCCCGCGGCCTGCGCCGCCCGCGCCGCCGGTGGTCGCAGGGGCGCCCGCGCCCGGCGGCGGGAGGGTTGCGGGCTCCATAAACGCCGACCGCTGCTGGTATCGGTTGTGATGGTGGTGTTGGTGCTGCTGCTGTTGCTGCTGCTGCTGCTGCTGCTGCCGCCCTGGAAGAAGCTGCTCGGCAGCTAGCTGGGCCTGCTGCGCCCAAGGCGACGTCAGCTCCCGCAGCAGGTTATCCAGCCCCTTGCCCTGCTGCTGCTCCCTGGACCCATGGCCCCACCCAACATGCTTCGCACGCGGCGACGGCGCCGCAGCAGCAGCAGCCGCCGCGGCCGCCGCCGCGTCCGACCCCGGCCTGTGCTGCAGGAGTGACACCTCCCACGCCAGCTGCTGCCTCAGCAGCTGCTGCATCACCTCGCCGTCCCCGGGTGCTGCGAGCAACAGGGCGCCGCCGGTGCTGACGACAGACAGGCTGCTGCCGCCCTGGCCGGCGTGGCGGGGGCGTGGACCCATGGCGGCCTGGTGGATGAGATTGTCCATCATCCCGCCAGACGGCAGCCTCTGCTGCTGCTGCTGCTGCTGCTGCTGCTGCTGCTGCTGCTGCTGCTGCTGCTGCCGCCGCTGCTGCTGTCGCTGCTGCTGCCGCCGCTGCGGCTGCTGCTGCTGCTGGTGCTGCTGGTGCTGTTGCTGCTGCGGCAGTGGTTCCAGCGTCTCCAGGGCCTCGCCAGCCGTGGCAGTTGCCGCAGGTACGGCCTCGGGACTGCTACTGCTACTGCTGCTGCTGCTGCCGCTGCTGCTGCCGCTGCTGCTTCCGTCGTCCTGCATATGCACAAATTCAGCGCCCACATGCTGCCCTGCAGCCGGGTGTTTGCTGCCGCTGGCCTCTCCGAAGAGCCAGGCCTCGCCACTGCCCGGCCGCAGCTCCCCGCCGCTTGGCAGGCAGGCCTCCACTCCTGCGCTGCCCGCCACGCGGCCGCAACCGCCCACGACGGCGGCATCGCCGGCGGCGGCCTGCTGCCAAAGCGCGTCCAGGCGGGCCGCGGGCGCCGCCTCCGCATTGTGGCTGGGGTGCACGTCAAGGTGTGCTGCCGCGGCGCCGCGCCGCATGCGGCCCAGCACCTCTTGCGCCCTCTCACTACTCCGATCCCTGGCGGCCGCCGCGTGCGCGACACGCAGCAGCTCGCCCGGCGTCAGCGGCCCGCGCCATTCTGGGCGGCGCGCGGGCGGCCACCGCTGAGTGAACAGCGCGCGGGGCGCGTAGCGCTGCGAGCCCACTAGGAGCTGCGTTTCGGTAGGAAGCGAAAGCTTGTTGCGGACTGCATTGACCGACAGGACGCCATTGTCTGCGCTGCTGATGAGGCGCGTTGACCGCGGAGTTGACCGGTCTGCGAGGTCGTCCATCAGAGCGCGCTGCTGCCGCACCGGCGACGCCGCCAGCTCGACTAGGAGCGCCACCACGCTCGGCGCGTGGCGCGGCGCGGCCCGCGAAGCGTCGACGCGCGGCGGGGCGGGGGGGCTGGCGCCAGCGGCCTGGGGGGGCTGCGCGGCAGGGTCCACTTCGCAGGCTGCCGCGCCATCGTCGGTGAAGAGCGGCGGCTGGCCGTCCTGCTGCTGTTGCTGCTGCCCCTCGTCCAGCCCAAAATCTTCCTCAATCATGGACGCTCCTTTCTCAAGCGCCGCGGCCTGCTGCTGCTGCGGCTGCTGCTGCTCCTGCAGCAGCGTCTGCTGCGCCTGCTGCTGGGCCCCCGTTGCTCGGGGAGCTTCCATCTGCCGCGCCGCGCTCCTGAGCGCTTCGAGAACGCCGTCGGGCTCCTCGGGCCCATCAGATCCTCCAAACCACGCAGGCGCTTCCGCCGGCCCCACCTCTGCGGGGCCGGCGGCCACCTGCTGCCCCACAGCCACCATTTGCAGCCACTGCTGCAACACGGCCGCATGACTCCCCCCCGCCTCGAGCTCAGCCGCTTCTGTCGCAAGCGCCGCCGCCTCGGGCGCGCCCGCCGCCTCGTGCCGCTGCCGCTGCTCCAGCGCCTGCTGCGCCTGCTGCGCCTGCTGCGCCTGCTGCGCCTGCTGTGCCTGCTGCGCCTGCTGCTGGGCCGCCTTCGCTCCGGCAGCGCCCATCTGCCGCGCGGCGCTCCTGAGCGCTTCGAGAACGCCGTCGGGCTCCTTGGGCCCATCCAATCCGCTAAACCACGCAGGCGCTTCCGCCGACCCCACCCCTGCGGACCCCGCTGCCACTTGCTGCTCGTCGGCCACTGGAGAGGCGCTGCCCGCCGCCGGGCCGGGGCCGGCGGGGGGCGGCTCTATCGCAGGCTTGGGCTCCAACTCTGCATGTTGCTGGTGCAGCGTGTGCGCCGCGTGCGGCGGGGGCCGCGCGTGCGACTTGGCCGGCTTAGTCTTGTGCGTTGCCTCCCTGGCTTGGGGGCGGCTGGGGGGCCGGGGGCCGCATTCCGCGAGTGCCAAGAGCACAGACTCCTGCGCTTCTCTTTGGCGCAATGCCTCCGCCTCTTGCAGAGATGACTGAAGGCTGTCAAAGGAAGCCGCCTCTGCGCCGCCGCCGCCGCCGATCGGGCTTAGGGGCTTCAGGATTTGGACGTGCCGGCGTCGCTGCTGCAGCTGTTGCTGCTGCCGCTGCTGCTGCCGCTGCTGCTGCTGCTGCTGCTGCTGCGGCGGCGGCGGCAGCAGCGGGGGTGGTGGAGCCCGCGCCTGCCATGTAAATTGTGGCCCTTCCGCCCCACCCGGCAGCTGCTGCGACGACGGCACGGCCTCTGCAGCTGCCTCGTCCAAGGGGGCTGCAGGCGTGGCAAGATCCTCTCTGGCTGGCGCTGCCGCGGCGGCAGTGGGACACCTGCATTCATGACCGGCGGCCTGCTCAGCGGCGGATGCATGGAGCACCGCGTCGTCTGCATCGCTGGGGTCGCCGGGGCTGCTTTCAGCACTGGCCAGGCTGGCGCCGCACAGCCGGCGAGAGGCGTGGCTGGCCAGCAGCTGCTCGAGCAGCTTCGCAGCTGCCACCAGGCAGGCCGCACGGGCCTGTGAGGTGGTCGCGATCGGAGCAGCTCGCGTGGGCACACTGGGCTGGCGCAGTGTTTGGCGGCTGGCAACGGGAGTGGGCACGCAATGGACCCAGTGCACGAGTGCGCATGCAGCCCAAGAGGTGCACACCTGCCCTCCAGCGGCTCGGACGCCGCATGTCCGCAGCATAGCTGCTTTTCTACTGTGCTCTTCTACGCCATCACCACATTCCCCGGCAGCGCGCTGCTGTCACTGCTAGTGAGTTGATCACAGCTGACTTTCGGCAACGTATGTCTATCGTCTGGGATTTCAGCGAGACGAGATGTTTGCTATGAAACTCTCGCGACCGATTTCGTGAGATCTTCAGCTCCCTGATAGTCACCGATCTGGCAGCGCGCACGCCTAGTCTCCCGTATGTTGTGGGGCGTCCGCTTCATATGCATGTGCGATATGGTCCCCTAGCGCATTTGCATTGGACTGGCGCGCACCCCCGCCACCTCAACGTGCTGCATGCCCCTCATGCCGCCGTGCATGCGGGTGGACATGCGCAACGCCTGGCAGGAGAGCGCAGGGCAGCTTGCCGCGCATACACAGACATCGGCATCAATGAAGACGACGATGATGACGACCTGCTTCCTTTTTCGGCGGCGGAGGAGCCTACGTCTGCGGATGGCGCAGCAGCACCTGGCAATGGCACTGGACCCCGCTCCACTCCAGGCGAGCAGGCACGGCTTGGGGCCACGGGCCTCAAACCTCAGAGGCAGTCAAGGGGTGAAGGAGGGTTTGGTCGGCGGCAGGAGCAGCAGCAGCAGCAGCAGCAGCAGCAGCAGGGGCGGCGGCAGCAGCAGCAGCAGCAGCAGCAGCAGCAGCAGCGGCAACAGCAGCAGTGGCGGCAGCAGCCGCAGCTACAGCAGCCTCAGCAGCCGCACCCTCAGCAGGAGCACCAGCCGCAGGAACAGCCGGAGCAGCGGCAGCAGCAGCAGGAGCAGCGGCAGCAGCAGCGGCGGTCCGTGCAGCGACAAACACAGCGAAAACGTGACCAAGACGAGCAGCAGCAGCAGCAGCAGCAGCAGCAGCAGCAGCAGCAGCAGCAGCAGCAGCATCTGCAGCAACAGTCGCCGCTCGTGCAGCGGCACCATCTGCCAGAGCGGTCCGTGCGGCAGCCTAAAAGTCACAACGGCAGCGGCAAGGGCAACGATAGCGGCAACAACAGCGGGCCGCCGGCCCATGTGGCAGCCAACACGAAGGCCCGCGCGTTGCTCGAGGCGGCCGCGCCAGGGGATGCTCAGGCAGTCGCCATGCAGCTGTCCGGAAGCTGCGAGGAGGTAGCAGCCGCCCTGCAGCTGCTCGCCGCCGCCGGCCCCCTGACAAACGCCGGCCGCCGGCGCGGCGGGCGCGCCCCTTTGCATGCAAGCTCGGGCTCGGGCACGGATGGCGGCGGCGGCCGCGGCAGGGAGGAGGAGACGGAGGCTGCGCGGCAGCTGCTGGCCGAGCTCTTGGTCGAGGCGCTCGTGGCGGAGGCGCCGGCGCCGGCCGCAGCACTCGGGGATGGCACGCGCGCCTTGGGGCGGCCCGCGCATCCCGCAGCTTTAAAGGCGCCCCGCACCTCAGAGGCACCCGCGACGCTGCTGCTTTCTGGTGCGCCCGCCGCGCCCCTGGCAGCAATCTGCCTCAGCTTAGGCCGCCTCCGCCTGTACAACGCGCGGTGCGTCGCGGCCCTCGAGGCGAGGACCGGGAAGCTGCTGGGCAGCTGCACGCCGAACCAGCTCGGGCAGCTGTCGCAGGGGTTTGCGGACCTGGGGCACGCGCCGGGCGCGCCGTGGCGTGCGGCGTTCGTGGCGGCGTCGGGGGCGGCCCTGGGAGGGTTCAACGAGACGCAGCTCCTCAGCATAGCATCCGCCTTGCTGACCTGGCGGCGCGGCGGCGTCGACGGCGGCGGCGGCATCGGCGGCTATGGC